AACTGACAACAAGAACGCCACCGACATCGGTTGGCAGCCACATCTTATAGTGTCTCCAACCAGGCACAGTGGGGATCACGCAATCCCCTTCCTGGAAGGCGAGTAGCACCGGCAGTGCCTAAGCGTTTCATGATCTTCATACTCTTCTGCCAAGTCAGGGATTGGCCACCTCTCTGTTTATTCCACTCTTAATCGGGCATAAAAAACAGCACTCTCTTCGACAAACGATGGTTTCGCATACGCAACACCAACGCAGCTTCTGGTGCTGGACACATTTTTCAATGGAAGTACCCACTGAACAACCGAAAACGCGCTTTCTAAGTGGCACTGACATCGGTTGGCGTTAGTTGAAAACGATTGGACGTTATATTATACGGTTTGGATTTCTTCAAGTTCCCGATTCCCTTTCAAGCAAGATGCGTGAGGAACAGCGCGAAGACAACCGCACTTAAGTTAAGGAGGCCTGAAGCTGCAATTCTTTTGGCTGCGGCACCAACTTGGGTGTTAATGTTGGACACTTGGTGTGCGAAAGTATGGCTGGATAGCCAGACTTCGCATCTCTACCACGGGAGTGCCTTTTGGACGGTCAATCATAGGACAAGCCAGGAACCCCACAAAACCACTGAGTACAGATTTGAAGATATAGACCAATAGGAATTCAGAGGCTATTTCCTAGCTCTTTTCAGAGGGCAGACCAACCAACTGGCCGTTACCATTGATCTTTGTAGACTTTTATATCAAATGGCCTGGGCAGTGGTTTGGACGAAAATGTTTCGGCGCACACCAAACAAAAAGTACTCACGCGCTAGTACATAGCATTCTGCATAAAGTTCTGGCTGCGTGGATATCTACGCCGTCCGCACAAATGGTGCCCCACTCTCCGGTCTCTGGATGCTGGATTTGAACAAGACCCTCTCGGTCAGTTCCACCAACCAGACGAATTATGGAAGACGAAGGCCTCGAACCTGAAAAATATGGATTCAAAATCGACAGACTTTTATAGTGAAATTTGGATTTTTGTTTGTTTTGCGTACCGTTCATCATTACTAACTTTTCTGAATTTTAAGAGCTAAACAACCAATTTCACTGGTTCGTTGTCTTTTAACATACTGACCTAGAATATGGCATGCGAATTGGAAAAAGAAAAAAATGTTTTTTTGATTCCACTGAACTATTTTTGTAATGCCTTTGGTTTCACATTTGCTACACGGATGTAGGGTGCAAAAATAGCACGCGAAACCAACGTTCTCCACATTGCCGCAGTGGAGTTTTTCAGAGTTTGAAACAATCATAATCCGTCGCCTTTAATTCGATTGTGAGCATTGGATAAGCCCAAACAACTCTCAGTTACGAAAGCCTTCACAAGTTAGCTTGTCTTCTGCAATTTTCAAGCAGTTGAATCCGATAAAACGCATTTAGCTTGAGGCATTTTGGACCATGAAACTCCTACTAGTGAGTCGCCGAAAAAGGCGTCCTCCGTCGCGTACTGATTGTAGGTTGCGCTGGCTTGGCCACGTGCTGCGTATGCCAGTCGACCGACTTCCACGAAGAGCTCTTTCCGCACAATGACGTGAAGGGTGGAAGAGAGCTAGAGGTGGTCAAACAATGACTTGCAGCGAAGGGAAAGCCAATACCAGCAAACTCAGCTGCGCTGGTCGTTGCCATCTTCCTGGATGGAGACCACAAGACGGTCCATATCAATGGTTAGGGACATTGTCAGACATGGTCCAGTCGCGCCCTGAATGGCGTTAATGCATCCAAACTATTGCCTTCAATGCATAGCCCCCTTCCCAATCCCCTTACTCAACAGTCCACCTACAATTCTGTATTTACGCACTAATTTACCAGCACCCGCCTGCAATGCGCAGCTATCTACCTCCCCCCAAATCATCGGTGAGCGAAACTGCGGCAGCTGCAACCACTGTACAACGGGTACGTGGTTATTACAGCTGACAATGATGATGACGATATACCGATTGTAGTCGAAATGACCGATAGAAGTCGCATCCAAACGCGCGAAATTTCTTTCGCTACAACTACGTTTTTTGCCAGTTCTGAAAATGTGCTGAGTAGTTTAATATGAATGTTGTACATGAAAATTGGCATTCACAGTAATACTATTCCATCATAGTTCCACCAAGGTTTACTCTCAAAGAGCTTGTAGTCAGAGATGAGAGATATCTGGCAGTTTTACTCCCACGGTTTGTTTGGGTGCAGCTGGATTGCTGACGATAAATCTACTAGAGATTTTTGAATCAATTTTTTCCTTTTTCTAGAGTATATTCCGCAATGCCGAACGAGAACTAAGTCATTATAAATTATTTTGACTGACTGTTGTCTTGATTAGCCAATAGCCCTTGAGATCAAGGTGTGGTCCCCGAAAAATAAATGATTCTTCACCAGGATTACCCTGAATGGTCCGAATGTAAGACATGTTTGCTACGGATATCATAAATCGCCTTCATGTTCTTCCACATTTGCATGCGACTGAGTCTTCAGATTGCCGCCATGTTGAAAACTACAGTACAGTCCACTAAGATTCTATGCCGTCTATGATTTCCTTGACTATAATGCAGGACGTTCCCGTGACACCCTGAGAAGTGTCCTCTGCGTTCATCAAGTACGCGCTACTTAGACTGCGACACCATCATCAGCATCATCACCGACATCATGGCATCAGTGTTCAACACCGATGCTTCACTGACGCACAACCATGATTTATTTAAAAGGCGGACGGGGACGGGACTTGGTGGTAGCTTAGTACAATTATTCCAAGGTGCCTACCTCTCCGGAAATTCACTCAAGCAATCTGGATAGGAACTGTCCACAAGGTTGCGACTGACAGCGGTTGGCAGCCATATCATGCAGCATCAGCCTTTCCATTTGTCTCAGCAATGGCATCCGCAGTCAGAAAGCACATTGGAAAAACTATCGGAAACGGCAAAGTGTGCCCAGCACTTCAATGGTTACCGTATCACCGATACACAATTTTCCTTTCATTCGTCAACCTCTCAAAATAAGACCGAAGCTTGATGCGAGTTTATGGACCCAGGAAATCGAGCAGTTTCCTAAAAGTGCAGGGCTTGGGTTTGATGCCCCGGCCTGGCAAAATGAATGTCATTGGTGAATCAAGCATAGATAGCCAGCAATTGAGTGGCTGACACAGTAGAACTTCATTCTTGTGCGGGATCCCAATATTGTGAGCAAAAAGAATGCTCGTAATTCCAGTAGTGAGGGAGAAAAATGGGTTAAGTAAACAGCCTCTAGAATGCTATGGCAATCAAAGCTAAACAAATTGGGTGGAGACGATAGAGAGACAGATACTCCTAGCGGAAGACAACGACTTTGTCCAAATTTTACATGGTCGTTTCACCGCAGTTAGTTTCACACCAGTGAAGTAACTGCTACACAAACAAACATCCACTTGTTCATCAATCTATGAATTTATGGATGCAATCATATATCACCAGCTTTCTGTTGCGTTTGTAGAGAAAATCTGAAGATGCCTTAGATCATCTATCCGTTACTATGTCGGACAACCTCACAAGAAATTGGTAGACGTAAGCTGAAATATTCAGATTCATATTCTAGCCTCTTTAGGCCTGCTTCTGTAATGGATAACTGTTGAATTATGAAAAAAACTTGATGACCTACAATGCTCCCCCGCAAAGTGCAAGCGGTGTTTTCAGCAACCGAGCCGTTTTGAAGCATCTCTTCGATTTTTGGGCGCAAGGCAAACGTTTAAGCATTGCATGTCATTAAGAAGCTCAGTCGGGTGTTCTTGTGCTTTATGCTTGTCATTAAAATTGTCTGCACGTCAGAGATTCCCAGTACCAAGAAGGTAAAAGCTAGAACTCAAAAATTTGTGACACTGAACAAAAACAGAGTGAGTGGACATGAATGCCGAACAGCATTTATTTAAGTAAGCTTTCATATAGCCTGTAAGTACCTTCAAACATCCAAATTTATGCAATTACATGAAAAAATTGGGCTCACCAGGTTATGAAGGCTCAGAAGATGTGAAGATTCTTTGCTACAGAAAGCGTCATTAGCCTGGACTATCCAGGGTGACTCAATGGTTAAGGCAAAGCCAGTTTCAGTGAAACAGTGTGTGTAAAAGTCGACTTAATGAATTAAAAAGTACTGATTAGAAGAATAGATCAATTAAAAACAGTTAAACTGACCTCCTACACCACAGACCCTAAAGACGTTAAGCACGAAAAAGTGTAAACCTGAACATAAGGAAAGGAACAAACCAAAGACATGATTCCCAAAACCCGAAAAAATGCGTTTGAGCGGTTCCTGTACAGCTGTCTTCAAGAAAGTCGACATCCACCTGATCACTTAAAACTGAGCTATACGAACTGAAGGGTATCTGCACAGAAAGAATATATCAACAACCAACCACAGTTTTCAAAAGTGGCGACTTCAACACCGTGGAGAAACCGTCATGGCATTATTCCAGTAACTGTGGTATTAGAGTTTTTCTCCGGTATCCTGTTCTGAGTAATCACATGGGGAACAAGATACCTGAAAACCTGGCTCCGACAGATCTCCAAACAGCAACACTGATACAAGTGACTATCAAAAGTCATTCTGCCTGACTAAATATTTGTTTCTTTCTTTCTTAACGTTCAGATTCCACGGAGCTGTCCACGAAGCAAAGCAGCCATCTGTAAATTCCTAGCTTCTCTCTGAACGTTTTACAAAACGATCCGCTTAAGTGAAGGGGCGTTCCATTTAGCTCTTCTGACTTCATTGGATCCAGCTATATCAAGCAAGACAGTCCTTTTTCTTTGTTTCATTTCATTTTTATCACTAAGCTGAGTGGGAAAGGCTGAAAGTCACTCTCTGAAGACTATAAAGTCAAATATCTCATAACCTTCAGCTTCAAGGTATGGGCTAGTCAGATAGCATGACTTTTCTTGAACCTAGGTAATTTAACCGATTTTACTCCATGATTTGGCATTATTATCATTCGTGCAAAGTATAGAGTACTAGTGGAAAACGAATCAAAACCAAACATTAAGACGCATGTTTGCGGATTGGCCTGTTGAGGCTTAGAATTGCGTTTGCCTGATTAGCTGCAGTGGTCCCAGCTGTTTAACCGAGGGAAACATTTCACCAGCATTAGAAAAATTGTAGCAGGTTTTCCTATCCTCTGTTCTATACAGCGCGATTGCAGCAACATCCTATCTGTCTGAATTTGATTTTGAAATCCTCTGATGCACATCGTATTTTTACATGGATCAGAAATCTGACGGCTGCGGGATGTGGCTACTAAAATCTTTCAACCTTTGGTCATCTTTCTTTTGATTCTGTACGAGACCAGCAGTAACATAAGACAAGCAGTAGTAAAGTACTAAGAAGGTGACTTATTAATTGCAGCTAAAATACTCATACTCCATAGAGTGCGGGAGCTTGAGCGACAGTCAAACAAACAAACTAAATTGGGATGGGCTACGAAGCAACACAAATCATGAATGAACCAGTTAAAATTCAGTTGGGACGGTTATAAATAGCCAATTGGGCTAGAGCTTGAAGAGAAGGCGAGGGCCTAAAATACAGAATACGCACGCGACTGGACACTGAGAATATCTCCCCAAATGGTGAAGAGAGTCTGCAAGTCTGCAAGTCTCAGAGTTTGCAAATAATTATTAAACAAATATGTAGCACCCACAACCATCCACTACACAAAAAATGTACACAATCCCAAACCAAATGTGATGATGACGTTTGAAGAAACTTTTCAGTCATTGTTCGCACTTAGTTTTATCTGAACCCGGATAATATGTGGAGCTTGATTGTATTCGCAATCAGAATAAAAATATCGCTGAATCTCACACGAAGTCACAAGCGTATTAGAGATTCATTTCTTTTATGAACCTCTGCGTTATGGCATAGGTAGAAGTTCGGTGATTTCGTCAAATAATTGTTCACCCCCTGCAATAAACCAGAAAGCAGGCGTCTGAAAAGTCATTTCTGATATATGCGTCTAATTTTCGGGCCTATGGTTTTATAATTGACACGGCGCTCTGTGTTTTCTGTGCAAGTGTGCAAGGTTCAACAAAAAAACAGTAGAAGACAAGAGCACAATCAAAGCCCACACACGTGTTTCTGGAGCAACGACAGAAATGGGCCTTACCACGATTGAAATATGATAGCTCATTTAGTTGATAGCACAGAGGGACAAAAAGATGTTGGTTGCTTCTAAGGATTATTTTGCAAAGAAACAACCTTATGGGCTCTTTCCTCTTGTCGTACATTTCCACTTCACGGCAACAGCTCAACCGAGTCCTAGATGCATCAGGCCTACCTAGCTGCAATTTTCTCACTAGTGACCACAATGGTTAGTAAGTACTTAGTTCATCGTACAAACAAACTAGTGTCGTAAGATGGTCTCAGGAAGATTTAAAGGCGGAATGTGTACGGACGTGGTTAGGTGAATTTGATTAAGATTAAGGAACCCCCTGGTTATAATTTCTTCGCAACCGCCACTGAACGATGTACCAGGAGCAGTGTTCATCATCAGCGTGAGAAAACTCTTGCTGAATGGTTCAACAAGACACGCAACCAGGCGTATACAGAAAACATGTCTTTCTTATCGTTATCGATCGAAAAAATCATAATGAGCTGTTATTTGCACCATGACACGTCTTTGGTTTTCTACCAGCAGGATGCATGCGTCAGTTCAATGTAACTCAAGCCTACAAGCAATGGTGTTTGTTTTGTTTTTACCTTCATTCAGAGTTTATATGGTACTAGCATCTAAGTGAATAGGCTTTTGATGTTTCAAAATTATCTTTAGTTGAATGTTGTTGCCAGTGAGAAACTTTAGAAGTCACTGCTAACTGTAACATAAAGTAAACAAAGCGTCATGTCCAGGGCTAGGACCTGCATACGGGGAGTCTGCAACGGAGTAAGGGAAAAAATGGGAACTTTTGTGTAAAAAACTAATTGTTATCCCTATCGTGTTTTTTTGTTTTTAGGCCGTGTCGCATGCCAAGAGAGAGGCAACCTAGCTCCTTCCATGGCACGATGGTTGCCATAACCGTGCAGTATCTTCAGCTAGAAAGTTTATTGTGGTACGTCAACGACAGAAATGAGATTCGTGTTCACACTGGTGCTGTGAGTGTACTGAGATGACGGCCTGGCACACAGGCCAATAAAAAAGAGAGAACAGTTCATCCAAACAGAGGATTTGGTATAAAATCTTTGCCACAAGACACGGTTGGCTCCGGGCACACTCCATATCAACGCACGATTTTTAGGTTTATGCCGCTTCAAATGCCGCAGCGTTGATCTGAAGGACTATATGGCTGTGTTTATTAAATGTTTAATTGTTTTCTAACCTGGCAGGAACAGATATATGCGTCAAAATGATCAATACCTAGCATAGCTCAACAAATCATCGGAAAATATCAACAAGCCACCAGAAGAGTTGAACATCATGGGGCCGAAATATGCGGGAAGAGTGACAAACGTAACCTGGGGCGTTTATTCTGAACAAAGAAATTTCCGATTTCCAAGAGCTGAGAGTGCAAATGAACCTCCACAGCTACAGGGTTGATTCACTTTGTTTCACAGATACCACAAGAAAGCTCACCCTGAACGGATGTGGTAACCTATGCCTCGATAGCTTTGAGCGTTCGCCAAAACTGTCCTAACTTGCAACAACACACACTTAGCACTGATGCCAAGGGTGTCGTAAATATACTAGTACAAGCTTGAAGAATAACAAGCATAGAAAGAACGAATATACAGTCGATGGAGAAAAACCTAAGACTTATCTAATGAGAGTGACCCGACTATGGTGAATGTGTGGGTCTCGACTTTTTGCTGGGGCAATTTTGTACGTGAAAAGATTTTGGTAGCACAGTCAGCAATAACCATACACAATAAGTACATTAAAATCACTTCAGGCTCTATCAAAATTGCATTATTTGGCAGACCACAAAGAGATGACATTTACTTCACAACATCAATCACTAAAATGTAACTCGTGTTCAATATTTCGCGAAAAAAGATACTTGGCACAAAGGCAATCTGGTGATAGTCTTTAGTACCACAATACAGTTCCTATATAGGATCCTCTAATAACACTAGTTGGCTTCAGCAGCACTTTCTGTCCCATCAGGCAGAATTTAGCCACCAGTATCCTTTGGTGAAACAGAAAATATCACAGCTCCCTCACAGCAACAGCCATTGTAACCCGAAAAGTTTCACTAGAACTGAAAAGCTACCATCTTTGGAGATAGCACAGTACAGTGTCTTCACTTTCTTCTTGACATGATGTGCTCCTTTCACATAGCATCACAAGCCTTGCCGCGTATTTTGGATGCAGTGACGTAGCATTTTAAGATAGAGCACTGTAGCACTTGTAAACTGCTCTTTTTCATGCTCAGTATCTTTTTTTCAATCATTATCAGTCTCATCGGTGTACAAAAGTTTGATTTACTGAAATACAACCGCTACCGCCCGCTTGTTGGCTCCAAAGTGACTTTGAGAATTTTACTGAGTGACTGTTGTTGTGACCGCCGGTCGCCTATAATTGACTGCTGTTAACACTAAACGTGAACAAACATTTCAGCTACAAACACTGGACTAATATATTCACACTTGTGGATTAATATTTCGATCACCGGAGATCTGGAATACCAGGAAGATAGAACTATTCTTGGTGTGGTTCAACAGAATACGGAACTGCGGAATCTCCTATTTTGAACTATGAGTCAAGATTTACTTGGATTTTTCCCCTTGTGACTTTGTATCTGGCTTACATTAGTAATTTGCTCTGTTCACTAGAGGCTCCATAGGGCCGTTAACCACTACAGCACCTTACAATGAATGTTTGTTTGGAATAGCATATAATTAAAGGATGCAATACAGACTGACACTAAAGTGGTGTTCTTTCAACTACGATAAACTGTTAAGAATCTTTGTTACGTCGACCACATTTGTGGAATCCCCACTTCAAGACCTAACTCACCGAGTTGCAAGGAGATGATAAAATCTCACCATCATGAAAAGTAAAATAACAGAAACCTCGGAACATGAACCTCGGAAAACTTACAATCAACCGGAGCCACTGTCATATAATTTGGTACAGGAGTAGTGGTTGTGATTTCCATGAAGTCATCCAAACAAATAATTGAAGTTTGGCGATTACTGTCTTGGCAACCCTCGGGAATCTCGTCGGTGAATGAGCAGACACCGAGGTGCACTGTCGCTGTGCTTAAGGAGAAACTTGGAAGTACAAGCCGGCCGGTACAGTTAAAGTTTGAAAGTATCATTTGACTGTCACTCCGTCTAGGGCTATTGAGTATAGCAACTCCACGAGGTTTCCTGAATGGAAGTGAGATAATTCTGGAAGACGCTTACATTCCCATCATAAAACATGCTACAGATGCAGCGAGTTCGTCAAACCCGAAATTACATACTGTTCCCCAAGTGCCATTGTAATTTACTTCGAGAACACCATCTCTTCCTTCCTCATATATGTTTGTTCCGGAAGCAAACCGCACCGATTGAATGCCAGCAACTAGAATCAATGTAATTAACACACAAAAGCTCTTACTCGTAGTGCATATAATTTTCTGGAACAGGATACATATAATCAGCAAGAATTGAGCGCGAAGAAAGGTCATGATTTTAAAAAAGTGCAGGTTGCTACAACTGTGGTGAAAATAGCAAACTGAGGTTTAAAACAAAAGTAGAAATAATCTGACGGATACTAAAAGTATGAGCATTGTAAGGCAGCCGCAGATTGGGGTCAAATCAACCTCAGTGAGAGTCACGTAGGACACGGATGGTTGAAGCGTTTATTCCTTGCGAGTATTCCTGACAAAATTTTACTTGGCAAAATTTGTATTTTTGAAATCGTTATTCGGGTTTCGTTGATAGTTAGCATCAATTCACAATAGGCGAGTGACTCTTGATTTTTATCCACTTAGAAGAACCTTCTGTCATTCGATCAACCGCTTAGCATACTGTCGTCATCAGGAAACTTGCACTCAACTCTGAACTAACTAATATGTTGCCCTGACAAAACCCAATCTTAGCCGCTGTTTCATGAACCGCGTCAGTGCAACGAAAATGCAGGTGCAAGGTGCGTTAAAATAGGGGGGATTAGCCAAGTTTGATGGTTTTGTGGGAAGACTGAGCAACGCAGAATTATTTCTGTTCACATTCCGGGGTGGAGGAACACTGTCCCCCGGCCTTTTGGGAAGCTGGTAAGACGAGATTAGCGGTGCCAAAAAATGAACATCCCTCCCCTCAGTACCCTGGTTTTGGGTAGCAGCTTTCAAATGAAAGTAAACGGTCGAATGCATGGTGGGTTTGGACGGTATTAACCAAGATCCACGTTTAATGGGATACTAATATTTCAACTTTGCTGATGAAGATAGTACTGTGGTGAATGTGAACGTTTCACAGATTCGTAAACTGCCAAGCCGAGATTTAATCCAAATCTCTGCGGGTGGGGTTATGCCTTGGCATTTAGCAGCTTCAGCTAACGCAAAGTAAATCAGGAAGGAAAGGTGTAGAGCCACCCCTCACGCCTGGCAAACACCTGACCAAGGGTAGTTGTTCACCGACAGGGGTGTAGTGTATGTAATCCTTTGTCACATATTTACCATCTTCCTGAACTTAAACTACACCTTGTAACCGTCGTACCTATTTTATCATGACGCTTATTTTAGCGNCTATTTTCCGGTGTGACTTACTGACTTCTTGCTGAACGAGTGTATTTACGCTCCGTTGGACTGTTTGGTGACTGCTGAACCAGTAAGGCTAGATCTCTGTAAACTGTCAACTTTTGAACATCACAATAAATCTCCGTGACATTTTTTTAGCCGTGAATAACTCTCCTATCGTGGAACATATCACTCACACGCGAATCATCCGTGGGAAGTTTCTACGAGTGAACATGTTTTTCCCAGCCGGTTACCGCATTTGGATCAGCGTAGTGGACTGTTGGATCTACGCATTAATGAGTCCTCAGTTGGCTACTCATTCTCTTCTTATTGTGATTTTGTATTGGTTACTTTACTCGTTAATTTGTTCGAACACGCTGATAAGGCCCTAGTCCGCTACCGGGAGATATGAGGGTGGCCAGAGTGGCTTCTTTTAAGTACACGAACGGTTTGAACATGGGACCATAGGGGTACACTAGTGGGAGATCGAGTTCTTGCAAATGCAGCAATGGCGCATTTGGGTTAAAGCAGAGTAGCAAATGCAAACTGGGAATGTGGTCAGGAGCCAGTTTGTTGGGAGAAGTAGCTGCAGAAATATCTGCCTAAAAGTGCTATTGTATCAGCACAACCACTCAACCTGGAAATCCTATTGCAGAACGGATTCACAATCGAGAAGACATTATGACCGTCTGGTTTGTGTACCTCCTCTGGAGAACCTTGAGTGCGTGGCCGCGGAGATTAGCATTATGAACAAGAGTCGAGCGTTCGTGAAGGAGTCATCCCGGTAGTCATGAATGGGGAGTAGCTATGTCGGCTTCCGTATTTAAGAGGAAGGTGATAAGCCTGGGCAGTCATTCTGGAGAAGACATGGTAGCTGGATGGAACATCCTTACGGGCTCTTCGCGGAACGTTTCCCAGCGTCACTTCAGTGAGCTTAAGCCAGGATTTCAACAATGAACCACGGTTTTCAGAAAAAATCAAGAAAGGATGAGTTTCATAAATGTTCAATGACACACGTAAGTGTGTTTCCACCTTAATTGGACCAATATCAGTTTTGGTTGAAAATACGGGTGTGTAAGGACAGAAATTGCCGTTATTGGACGAAAGGACCCCCAGCAAGCTCAATTAAAATGATATATCCCCCTGTAATTAGGCTGGGTCAGTAAGCGAGATCACGATTTTGCACACACTCAGTAATGCTCTACATATGAAATGTACAGCTTGGAGAGTTGACGAGGGTTACCAAATGAAGCTGTCCCAGAAGTGATTCTGCCGCATTTGTTAACGATTCTAGATTGTCTCGGAGAAGGAACAATAATCCAGGGCGGCCTGTTTTGCCCAGACCTTCATTCATTTCCAAGTTTTTTTCACGGGGGAGAGCAAAATGCGGAATGGCTGACATCGTGGTCGAGTTCCAATAACGGAGATAACCGCGGAACGTTGGTGTGATAATTAAATCAGTAGGACGAGTTGCTTGCTTCTGGCTGCCAGGAATTCAGGGAAGGCGACTGTTGCCCGCCAAGGAAACCAGTTAGGTTGGCAGTGTTTCACATTGTCCGTTGCACCTCACATTATAAACAGGGATGGTGTTGCAACACGTATTGAGGAGAAGCCGGTGGCTGATGAGTGGTGGCAGCTGGGAATAAATAGTGCAAGAAGCAAAAGGGCTTGGGCGTGACAGAATTTTGGGGAGACACACTTCACAGAGAATGTTAGGGGTCATATATTTGACGAACCAATACTGGGTATGTCCGGCTGGAGCCGCAACTTTTGATGAGAATGAGAGACAGAGGCGGATGCTACATAAATGGAGAACAATTCGGGGGCGAGAGCGTATAAACTCCCTGCATGTTCAAGCGAAAAGCCAAAATGCTTGCTCAGGTGACCTAGAAAACTAATTTCTGAATCCGACGCACCTAGCGTGTGTCAGCAACTCAGCGTGCACTCTCAGATTGGGGGACCGTGGTGAAACTAAACTGTGCAGATCTGGACACGCATTGCTAGGGCCCATGCGATTTGTGCATATAAAACGATCCAGCTCCATCACGTTTACTGATTTATCTTAATGGTGGGGGACAGTGGGCCATATGGGTGGTGCGTGA